CCCACAGACCGGTACGCTCCCACAGAGCGGGCCTCCTCAGGGTGCCGTCGGCCAAGCAGTGTCGGCTGGCGACCCCCAGGGGGAGGGCCTTCTCTGTGGGTGCCCCCACCCTCTGGAACGAACTACCCCCCGAGATCCGGACGATTCCGGATCTCCTAGCTTTCCGCCGCGCCCTCAAGACATGGCTTTTTCAGCAAGCAGGTCTGGCCTAGGGTGAATTTTAAATAGGGACAATTTTAATGATTTTAATAAGACACAGCGACAAATATTTGTTTTTAATTGGTTTTTATTGGGGATAATGTTTTATACTGTTTTAATATGCTGTGAGCCGCCCTGAGTCCTGTGGGGAGAAGGGCGGCATATAAGTCCAATAAATGAATAAATGAATGAATGAAAGAAAAACCATTTTAAGTCCCTGGTATATTCCTGATACTTAATAGGATATTTATATCTCCTATACTTCTTTTGTTACCTGGACATGCAGTAGGTAGAATTCTTTTAAGCAATATCAAAGGCTGTGTTGTTTAGGAGATGAATAATCATAGTATTTCATTTTACCTAATAATAAATGTATTATGAAGATCTTGTATATCAGAACAGAGTTTTCAAAAAGTTGTTTGAAGAAACAATTGACATGAAATATAATTAATTATTTTCTTTGTTTTTATAGCTTCTCATGTCCGTTTTTGATAACAGTATGAAGAATTTTGGGGTGACAGAGAGTGATCTGTTTGATTGGGAAAAGAGTGGGGCTGATGGTTCTCTTACCACCACCACCACTTCAACTACTCCTCAGCTACATACTCGACTGACCCCAGCTGCTATAGGGTATTTTGAATCTTTTTTGGGGGGGACGTTAGATGAATTAGCATTTCAAGTTATAAGTGCTTCTTCATGGAGAAGAGAATAGAATAGAATAGGAATAGAATAGAATAGAATAGAATAGAATAGAATAGAATAGAATAGAATAGAATAGAATAGAATAGAATAGAATAGAGCTGGAAGGGACCTTGGAGGTCTTCTAGTCCAGCTCCCTGCTCGAGCAGGAGAACCTATACCATTTCAGTTAAGTGATTGTCTAGTTTCTTCTTAAAAACCTCCAGTGATGGAGCGTCCATGATTTCTGGAGGCAAGCTATTCCACTGGTTAATTGTCTTCACTATTAGGAAGTTTCTCCTTAATTCCAGGTTGCTTCTCTCTTTGATCAGTTTCCAACCATTGTTTCTTGTCCTGCCCTCTGGTGCTTTGGAGAATAATTTGACCCCCTCTTCTTTGTGGCAGCCCCTCAAATACTGGAATACTGCTATTATGTCACCCCTATTTCTTCTTTTCTTTAGACTAGCCAAACTCAAGTCCTGTAGCCATTCTTCATATGTTTTAGTCTCCAGGCCTTTGATCATTTTAGTTGCTCTTTTCTGAACTTTTTCCAAGGTCTCAACAGCTTTTTTGTAGTATGGTGACCAAAATTGGTACGGAAACAGATACTCCTTCATAATAAGATGCTGACAAATCTTAAATACCTAATATAAGATATATCAATCTCAGATTAAGATCAAGAATCTGAGATTAAGTTCATGCATCTCAGGTTACTTGACAGATAAAGATTCAGTGTTCTGTATCAGATATTTAGAATGGTGTCTTGCATTTATAATAACTTGCATTTGGTCACTTTGACCAATAAGATAATAGATAACTATGTCTTTTGGAAGAGAAGGGTCATCTTTAAATTGCTGTCCTCCAGAGGTGTCAGGAAATATTCATTCATAATATAGCCAGGTTGAAAACAGTTCAGGTGCCATGATGTAATTGGGAAGAAATTTAAAACAGTCAATCATTATTATGCAGCTAATTCTAATGGTTATTGCTTGGTGGGGGAAACCAGAGGCAAAAGTGATGGAATAGTATCTTCTCTTCTGGTCCTTATCCTAATAGGGTAGCATGCTGACTTCATTAGCATATGGAAACCTGGAAGTTAGGGAAAATTGTTTTAGCATTACTAGTCTACGGCAGAGAGGAAGTAAGTGTCAGTTTAGAAAAGAAACTGGGACATGTTTAGTATTAATTTTAACTTTTTCATATATAGAATTGCCAATGCTACACCAATACCAGGAGATTTATTACGAGAGAATACAGATGAAGTATTTCCTGATGAACAACTCAGTGACGGTGAGAATGGTATCCCTATTGGAATCTCACCAGAAAAGTTACCAGAGTCTCCTGGACATCGTCTTCAGGAAAAGGATGTGTGGGAAGAAATGGATGCTAATAGGAAAAAGATTAAATTGGGCATCCATAAAGTAAGTATTGCAGTTGAATAAATGATAGCATTTTCTTTTTTTCTTGTTAACATATACATATATATCTGTTTCCAATGGTGACTAATCAAATATCCATGAAAAAATGAATAAATGGAGTATGATGAAGAAAACCACTTAATTTGTCCCTGATGTGATATATATATATATATATACTGTATATGCATAAAGGTTTCATTTCTATTTGTTAATTGTGCTGCTGAAAATGTTTCAATGAATTTCTTAAGAGAATGATGAAACGGCTTTGTTTTCATGTAGTGCTAAGTAGTCTCAGTCCTTTCTCCACATTGTTTATAGTGCTTATCAGAATATTTGGTTAAGAATTTTAATATCAGTGCATATCACACTAGAAGTACAGGTAGTGCTCGACTAACACTCAGGCAGATGCAACATGAGGCGAGAGTTGAAATACACACACACATACATATCCGCACATTTGTTTCCCAGAATTAAAAATAGGTGCCTCCTATGTTTTTTTTCTTCTGTCCAGTCATGTCCAATTTTCAAAGACTGCTTGGAAATGGCCCTGTAGTTTTCCTGGCAAGGTTTTTGAGGAGTGGTTAGCCATTGTCTCTTTCCTAGGACTGAGAGAGTGACTGGCCCAAGGTCAGCTAGCTCATTTAAGAATGAGAGAAAATGGGAATTACAATGACAATAAAATATAGCAGGTTAGAGCAACAAAAACTAGAATGTCTGAAGAAAAACAGGCACAGGAAGAAAATGTAGGAATCTGAGGTTAGGGAGGCTACATGAGTTCATGAAAATTGGGTGAATAGATCTATTGTAGATCTAGGTAGTGAACTAGTGGTCAAACTTGATATAAAATAGCTGCTTATGTTAAATAATATTTCTAAAATCTTTAGTTTTTCAGTAATAGAAACTGATTTTCAAATAGAGGGATTATGTCAACTGTTTTTAAAATCACATTTAGAAAATGCTTTATATAAGAATTATCTTATATCCAAATATTTTGATAAGATTGGGATGTTATCCTTATGTTAATTTATTTTTTTATATTGTGACACTCCTTTATAGGCTACTACAGAAGAAGAAAACAGTCATGGGCCAATTAATGGAATGTTTAATGCACCAAGCCTTGGTTCTCCAATTAGAGTCCGCTCAGAGACCACACAGCCAGATCGGGATGTTCCTCTGGTACGAAAATTACGATCAATCCATAGTTTTGAACTGGAGAAGCGCCTGACTTTGGAGTCAAAGCCAGATGCAGACAAATTTCTGGAAATCTGGTAGGTAATGGTTTGTTTTATGCAGATGTTACTTTGCAGTGGCTTAGTTTGGTTTTGTCTATAGGTGTGTGTGTATGTAATTCTTCACTGTTGTTTAATTAGAATATCTGCAGTAACTAATTAGAAAATCATATGCATATATAGATTTACATATAGCTAATCTTCATAGCAGTTTCATTCTAGCCAAATGGTGGATAATGAAACTATAGATGATAATACATGGGAAAAAAAGTATTTTGTTTATATAAAAAGCCAGCCTGCCGTTTTGCAATGGGTCACTGACCACTCAGATATAGAAGATATATAAACGGCCCCACAAAAAAAGATGCCAGGCTTTGAACTACCATGTTAGCAACGGACAATTCTGAGTAGGATTCGCACCTCACACCGTGTCTGCCAGGACTCTCTGTATCAATGGGGCACAGCACCCTACCCTCAGTGCAACTGCAGGGTCCCACATCGAACTGTAGATCACATTGTGACCGGCTGTAAGCTGAGGACATATACTGGTCAAGTATCTGATGTTTTTAATATAAATGATGCTGCGCTATATGCTTAAAATACACAGAAATGTCCTCCAAAACATGGATGCAAAAAACTATTTTCCATGGTCAAATAGTAGAGTACTGCAGGGCTTTTCAACCAATGGTACGGGTACCACCTCTGGTACATTGGCACCTGGCAGGTGGTACGCGACCATCCTAGAAAAGTGGTAGCGGGAGAGGGGAATGAGAGCGCCGCCGGGCGGGCAGGCAGGTGTCTTGCTCACTAAGCGAACTGTTGTAAGTCGAGGACTACCTGTACTTTATCACTTTTTTCTTTTTGGTCAAGTTTTTGACACCTTGCTAGGCGACTGGTGGTACTCGGATATTGCAATATCCTAAAAGTGGTACAATGGGTGAAAAGGTTGAAAAGCCCTGGAGTACTGTATGTATTTTATTTTCATGGATAACTTGGACTACTTATTTTTTTCTAAAAAAAATTTTTTTTGAAAATATGTCTGTTTAGAGGATGTCCTGTGGATTCTGCTTTATATTCCTCAAATAATACAAATACATTGATATATCATTTTTTTCTTTTATCAGCATGGAGAAAAAGAAAAGAGAGCTTAATGGTGGCAGTGGCAAAGAACCTGTAATTCCAGCTTCTCAGAGAATACGGGTTCCCGCAGCTTCTTCCGGTCAGGAACATGTCTGGCATTATGATGAAGAGTATCTGCCTAAAGCTTCCAAGCTGGTTTCAAGTCCTTCTCCAGAACAGGGTGATGGTGGTGTTAGCAATGGATACGTTGCTGTCAATTTGAATTCTTGCCAGCAGGAAGTAGACTCCAAGGAATGGGTGATTGTTGATAAAGAGCAGGACCTTCAGGATTTCAGAACTAATGGTGCTACAGGGCATAAAACAACTGGAAGTCCTTCTGATGAAGAACCTGAGGTACTCCAGGATTTTGAAGAGTCTCCCCAAGAGGATAAACTTGGACTTCAAACCAAGCATACACCTGATGGAGCAGCACTTGATTTGGGCGCTGAATGTCGTGGAATTGCAGCTTCTGAACAGTTTACAGATCAACTAGAACTCCCAGTTGGAATTGCTGGTCATGCTTTTGCTGTCACACCTACAAGCCTAATGGAGGCACAAGCAGAAGGGGCTCTTACTCCAGTAAGTAAACTAACAGCCAGAGTCTGTTATAGTTCAGGCAAATTAAGAAATTGCTGTGAAAACATGGCATTTAGATTACAATCAAAGCACTGTTTAGAGATGATAATCTGTTTTAGTTCTTTGAAAAGAGGGTGAGAGTGTTCTTAACATTTTTAGAAATATTTTCCAAACACTGTACTAAAAATGTGTTTTTGCAATTCCCAGAGCTCTTGCCACTGATTTAATTATTGTAAACATTATTAAATATCTTCAACAAAAATTTGAAACCAGAAAATCATAATAACTATGATATTTGAACCATTATCTTCACGGAGTAGTTTCATAGAATATTTTTTAAAATATGAATTACGCTTTTAGCTCAAAAGTAGGCAATGATTATTTCAGAAATAGAGAAAACTGATGGAGTGCACATATGAACTTACTTAATTTTAAGTCTTTATTTTCAGATGCTAGTAACTGCTATTAAATATATTTTTTACTTTAATATATTCTTGAAAAGTTAATTCTTGCATGTAAAAATATAAATTGGCTTCGCCTGATAGCTGAAACTGTTTTATGTACATGACAAAAAACAGTCACTATAAATAACTTCCATCTTCTGGGCCATGTTATTTGAGCATCTTAACATTTTGTTTCAGATTTCAGATTTTCCAAGAGAATGGTTCTGTCTTCTGTTTTTTTTGGCCAATATCACGGCTATTGCTGTTTCTTTATTTTGTATGCAGTTTTTCTTTTACTCAAAATTCTTTTACTACTTTTGTTAAATACAACATATGTTTAAATAGAATATACAGTTACAGTACATTTATGGTGTATATCTATATCTATGGAGAGTCTCAATCATCCAGGTCATGGTTGTCCCACAGGTGCTTTTCTAAAAGGTAACTGAATAGTAATGACTGAAAATGGTGTTACTGCACTTAAGAGTTGTTATAAACATATTTTGATTTGTGTCCAAACACTAAGGATAGAAATCACGTTTGTTTCTTATCCTCTTGCACATATGTTTCCTCCATAATGCTCTTAATACTTATTATTTATTACTAAATTGATAGCTGCCTCTTATCCTTAGCACAATAAATTGATTTGACCATAAATCAAAATCATAATTTAGTGCTGTAAAAGTATACTGTTTAAATATCCTTCTCCTGCAAATAAGCATAATGTTCCAAATTCTTTATTTTCCTTTTGATAAATAACAGCTCTTTATGACATCTGAATTCAAACTGAGATGAACTGAAACCTGGATAGGGAAGCGGGAGATAGTTCCTCTCTCAGGAATATGCTGATATAGATTTTAGGTCTGGCATTATCCGTGCCCCCAGAGCAGGGGAGAGGGGGCAGATTTTATCCTCTGTGAGATTCTATTGGCATTAAGAGGCACTACTTTATAGATAACCAGATGTGAGACCTCATTTATGCAGTTGGGCCCAAAGGGCTACTTGGCATTGACACCTTTATACTGCTTCCCATACTGAACAGTGACATCTCTGCCAGGGTACTATCCTTATTGTTGAGATGACAAGAGTTCCCTTGGTTAGTACTGTTGGAGGACTTTACTTTCCTTTCATTTGGTGAGAGGTCTGGAGTAGCCTAGGACTACATGGCCACCAATGACTTCCATGGTCTTGATTCAATATATCAAGAACCTAGCTGAGATAATTTTGTGTCTGTACATCCTAAGGAAATGTGTAGAGCCCTCTGTACTGTCAGTTCCATACTTTCTGGTTACATCTCTTAAGTGGTTAGATATATTAACTATGGTTAGTTAAGGTTGCCCATGAAATAGCAGGAGGTGGGATTCAAGCAGTTAATAGTTCTTTGAATTAAGGGGTAGTTTTCTCACTCTGAAAGGTGTTGTGGTGTACTTCACCCTTAAGAAGTTTTTGCTCAAGTCAACTGTTAAATAAATTTAGGCTTCTTCAGCCTACCTTTTAGGAAAGGTTATATAGAAACAAATGGTCTTAAAAGTATAGAGAATCCTGAAAAAGCAAATTATTTGAACCCCTGCCAAACAGGTTTCAGCCCTGGTACAGCACAGAAACTGCATTCTGTGATGCTTTACTATAATTGCAATTATAATGTTAGTGTTTTAAAAATATGTATTAATGTAGTCAAATTGAGTAAATTATGTACTAAGAACAGGTTCAATGGAGATGAACATGTCAAATAATTTAGCATACAGCTTTATATCAAAGATATTTTATATGTTCTACTTGATACAGCTTCTAAAATACAATATATATTTGCCTTTCTTACATAAGATAAAAATAAGAGTACGTTTATTTGTACTACACCATTATTCCTCTGCTGTTTTAGAAAGCCTTCCTCAAAGCAGCCTGCAACTATGGCATGAAAAAATCTGTACACTAAAAAATATAACTTGAAAGCCACATGAATGAATGAATGAACCTTTATTATCAAAGTACAACATGTATACAAATATTAAAATCATTTCATATTTAAATACTTCTTGGTAGACTGAAGCTCAGAAAGAGAAAGACAACTCAA